AATAAACTCTCAACTTAAATAACTGCCCATTATATTTTTCATTTTATGGTGATCTGCCAGTAAAGGAATCACTGCATAAGACAGGAGACTGCACATTTTAAAAGTCGGCAGGTATAGATAATGGTTACTATGTTAGAATTCACTCTTGTATCTTAGTAAAGAAAGTGGATAAATTGTCTATTTCAGTGTGCAGTGGGAAGGAAAGGTAAAAATGGAATGTGGTCCTATTTGTTGTTTTCCTGTGATGAATTGTGACTACTTAACAACTAGAAGTTTGAAACACAGGTCTCAGTCTGTCATGAAAATAGAGAGATGAACTGGAAAGGAAAGAAATGTTCTTGTGAAATCTGACTTAACAGAGAGGAGAAGTCATGTTTCTCCCTCATACACACAGCAGCTGTGTCTGAGGAATGGATTTCTTTGATCCAAGGTCCTGAAGAATCACTCTCTTGTTTTCCTGAATGACACACACAAGTTAATACAGAACCCTAATAAAAGTGCACATATCTCATCATCACTGAGAGAAACCATTTAAATATCCATGTACTTGACAGCACAATTAAGAACTTGAATGCAGCTATTGGTTTCTGTTGGTTAGTTACTTACTTAGTGTTTAATAATTTTTACATGTAGAAAAATTTATTACCTTAAGTATGCATTTATTTTCTGCAAAACATAATTTTATACTTACTAAATGGTTTCCAGAATAGTTCAAGACACTCATAATCTTTACATATGTATTCTCATATTCTCTCTCTCTCTCTCTAGCTGTCTCTGTCTCTGTCTCTCTCTCTCTATTTCTCTCTCTCTCTCTGATCCATTTGATGAAGACTGAATCTCCACAGATACAATAGTATTTGTTGAGACCAGCAGGATGTGAAAGGTCAAGACTCATAATCTTATAGATAAATGAGTTTGAGGGCAACATAGGCTACATGATATGTTTGTTAGAGAGTGAGATTCTGTCTCATGAGGTCTAATAATAATAATGGTAATGATAATGATGATAATAATAATAATAAAAGTAATCCATCCAGAAAATTTTTCTAGGGACAAGCAATTTCCTTTACAACATCATACTGAAAAGATTAAACTCAAAAAATATATATTGATCTAGTAATATGTTCTAATCTATAATCCATTTTCATATTAGTCAGTTTTGACAGTTTTGTGGATCATGTCTCTGCTGATATTTCCTCAATTTCAGGTTATGCAGTACATTCACTTTTAATGGCCTTTTGTTCTAAAACTGTTTGATTCATGTTTTCTTTCTTTCTTTCCTTCTTTCTTCTTCCTTCCTTTCTTTCTTTTGACAACTATATTTTAAAAAATCAATTTTTGAAGTTGGAGTGTGCAGGTACTAAAACGTACCCACTGTAAGTCACGAGAAATATGAGTTTTAGCAGATATGGGCTCCTTTACAAGCACCATTGTGCAAGCTAGTTTTATGTCAACTTGACACAAGCTAATGTTCTCTGAGAAGAGGGAACCTCATTTGAGCAAGTGCCTCAATAACAAATATCTTTCTTTAGGCAAGACTGTAGGGCATTGTCTTAATTAGTAACTGATGTGGCAGATCCCACCATTGTAAGGGATATCATCCCTGGGCTTCAAATCTTGGGTACTGTAAGAAAGTAGACTGAGCAAATTTGGGGAAGAAAACCAGTAAGCTGTATTCTTCTGTGTAAACAGACACTGCTCATTCATTTTTGTTCTCCCAGACTTGAATAATCACACAGATACTATATTAATCACAAAACTGCTTGACCAATAGCTTAGGCATATTTCTAGCTAGCTCTTATATCTTAAATTAACCCATTTCTACTAGTCTATGTACTTCCATGATGCTGTGACCTAGCAGTAAGTTTTTCCAGCAACTTTCTCCTTTGGCAGCAACATGGCATCTCCTTGAATTCATCTTCTCTCTCTCTCTCTCTCTCTCTCTCTCTCTCTCTCTCTCTCTCTCT